TTTGCTCAGCATACAGGTTGAATAAGTATGGTGAAAGAATACAACCTTGTCGTACACCTGTCTTAATTTTAAACCATTCAGTGTTCCCATGTTCTGTTCAAACAATAGCCTCCTGGTCCAGATACAGATTCCTCATGAGCACAATTAAGTGTTGAGGACAAATCCTAAAATAATGTGAATCTTTCAACAGTATTTCAATTTTTATTTTACTATTTTGCTTCATATTTAACATATCTAATAATTTTCTAATGTCTCAAAAAATAATTGATTTTTAACTTTACCTCTACTTAAGGATTTAGTAGCTCAAAATACAAACCAAAAGAGTAGGAGTCTTCATATCAAGTACCAATACTATCCCTTCTGTATACAAGACTGATATGGACAGGAAACTTAGACATTGGCTACCTAAATGGGGGAGCTATAAGGCATGAATTGATAGGCTTAAAATTTTTCCAGAAGTTTAGTTTTAGAGTGAGCAGAAGAAGGTAGAATCCTCACTGAATAGTTTTCATCTTGTCAAGACAGATCAGGTGAAAGGAGATGGAGATAAGATTCTTATGATTTAATAGTGAGTAATTGTTATCATCCACCACTCGGCTGTCAGTTTGTCATACTAAGGTGGCTTGTGAGTTATGGTGATTCTGAAAGCTATGCCACTGGTATTTTAAATACCAGCAGGGTCACCCATGGTGGACAGGTTTCAAATAAGCTTCCAGATGAAGACAGACTGGGAAGAAGGAGTGATGAACTACTTCCGAATATTTCGTCACTGAAAACCTTATGAATAGCAGAGAAACACTGTCTGTCAGATATAGTGCCGGAAAATGAGCCCCTCAGGTTGGAAAGCACTAAGGAAGAGATGCCTCCTCAAAGTAAAGTTGACCGTGATGATGCGAATGGAGTAAAGCCCATGAGAGAAAAAGCCGTGGGACCTTCATTTGCTGATGGGGCACAACTCAAAATGAAGAGAAACAACTGTAAATATTCATTGAAAAACAGAACATGGAATGTACGAAGTATGAATCTGGGAAAATTGAAAGTTGTCAATAATGAGATAGAATGCATAAACATCGATACCTTAGGCATTATTATTGTTGTTAAGTGCCGTGGAGTCGGTTCCGACTCATAGCAACCCTGTACAGGATTTCTGAGGCTGTAAATCTTTACGGGAGCAGAACGCCTTATCTTTCTCCGGCAGAACCCCTGGTAGTTTCAAACTGCTGCCCTTGCGGTTCACAGCCCTATTCGTAACCACTACGCTACCAGAGCTCCTTTACCTTAGGCATTAGTGAGCTGAAATGGATTGGTATTAGCCATTTTGAATCTGATGACCAGAAATGACAAATTAAAGAGGAATGGTGTAGCAGTCATTGACAAAAAGAACATATCCACAACAGTGTCTGTGATAGGATAATATCCATGTGCCTACAGGGAAGCCCAGTTAACACCATTATTATTCAAATTTATGCACCAAACCTAAAGCCTATAAGGAAGAAATAGAAGAATTCTACCAATGTCTTAAATTTGAAATTGATTAAACATGCAATCAAGATGCATTGATCATTACTGGTGATTGGAATACAAAGGTTGGGAGCAAAGAGGAAGGACCAGTAGTTGGAAAATATAGCCTTGGGGATAGAAATGATGCTGGAGAACACATGACACAATTCTGCAAAACCAGTGATTTGTTCATTATATAGCATAAGACATGACTATACACAGGGTCCTCACCAGATAGAATACATAGAAATCAAATTGACTATGTCCGTGGAAAGACACGATGGAAAAGCTCCATATCATCAGTGAAAACAAGGCTGGGGCAGACTGTGGAACAGACCATCATATGCAAATTCACACTGAAGCTAAAGAAAATGAAAACAAGTCCATGAGAGCCAAAATATGACCTTGAATCTATTCCACCTGAATTTAGAGATCTTCTGAAGAACAGATTTGATACATTACACATTAAAGACCAAAGACCAGAAGAGTAGTGGGTTGAAATCAAGAACATCATATATGGAGAGAGCAAAAAGTTACTGAGAAGACAAGAAAGAAGGAAAAGGTCAAAATGGATGTCAGAAGAGACACTGACACTTGCTCTCCAGCATAGAGATGCTAAAGCAAATGCAAGAAATGAGGAAGTACAAGAGCTGAACAGAAAATTTCAAAGGTCAGCTTGAGAAGATAAAGACAAATATTACTACAAAATGTGCAAAGACCTGGAGTCGGAAAACCAAAAAGGAAGAAGACGTTTGACAATCTTAAACTGGGGTAAATGAAGACAAAATTCAAGCCTCAACTTTCGTTATTGAAGGGATTCTCAGGACAAATTATTGAATGATGCAGAATGCATCAAGAGAAGATGGAACGAATACACATAGTCACTGTACCAAAAGGAAATGTTTAATGTTCAACCGTTTCAAGAGGTAGTGTATGATCAGGAGCCATTGATACTGAAAGAGGAAGTCCAAGGTACATTGAAGGAATTGGCAAAGAACACGGCACCAGGAATTGATGGAATAAAAATTGAAATCTTTCAAGAAAGTGAGGCAGCACAAGAGGCACTCACTCATATCTGTCAAGAAATTTGGAAGACAGCTATCTGGCCAACTGATTGAAAAGATCCATATTTGTGCCCATTCCAAAGAGTGGTGACCCAACGGAATGCGAAAATCATCGGACAATCTCTTTGATATCCCATGCGAGTAAAGTTTTGCTAAAGGTTATACAGAAACAGCTGCAATCATACATTGACAGAGAACGTCCAGAGGTTCAAATTGGATTCAGAAGAGGCCATGGAATGAGGGATATCATTGCTGATGTCCGATGGATCTTGGCTGAAAGCAGAGAATATCAGAAAGATGTTTATCTAAGCTGTATTGACGATGCAAAGGCTTTCAATTGTGTGGATCATGACAAGCTATGGACAACACTGTGAAGTATGAGTATTCCAGGACACTTAATTGTGCTCCTGAGGAATCTGTACCTGGACCAAGAGGCAGTTGTTCGAACAAAACATGGGAACACTGAATGGTTTAAAATTAAGAAAGGTGTATGAAAGGGTTGTTTTATTTCACCATACTTATTCAA